AATATTATCTTTACTCAATTACATTACTAGAGTGAAAATAATACTTCATAATTATAATATTAGTAGAATAGATTGATTGAGCAAAGATTTTTAAAATACACATACTATAATAAAATTTATCTTTTAAAAAATTGATTTTAATTTTATTTTCCCCAATTATAATCTATTATTACTGCTAATACAATATGACTATTCCACACCTCAATTTGCCTACTAACAATTTATTCACATACTAATAATTTATATTTATCTATATTAATCTATCATTTTATTTTCCAACATATATCTCTGATATTGGTAAGAATTTTTATTTTTATTTCTTTAATTACAATCAATTATTACTACTAATACAAACAACTTCATTCCACACCTTTCTGAATCATTCACTACCAATAACTTATTTATATTTCTTATCTACTTATTTATTTATCTACTATTTATTAATTTATCTTCCAATATATATCTCCAATATTGGTAAGAATTTTTATTTTTATTTCTTTAATTATGATCAATTATTACTACTAACACAAACAACTTCATTCCACACCTTTCTGAATCATTCACCTACCAATAACTTATTTCTATTTCTTATCTATTTATTTATTTATCTACTATTTATTAATTTATCATCCAATATATATCTTCGATATTGGTAAGAAATTTTATTTTATTTCTTTAATTATGATCAATTATTACTACTAACACAAACAACTTCATTCCATGCCTTTCTGAATTGTTCACCTACTAATAGTCAGATGACATTTCACAGTGTTGAGTACAATTATTACCTCTACTGAAAAAGTATTTAAATTTATTGCACATGAGGCATTTCTTTTTATGAATTTTACTATCACTAATATTTTTGTTTCTAGAAACAGAGTCATGAAGGCCACTAATATCCAAATTAAAATGGCTGCTGCAAAGCCCATATTCATATATATTATAAACAGAATCATCCTCTACAGATACATCTACTTCCCATTCCCAAAGAACTGTGCAAGCGGTATTAATTTATCTCTGAGCAACATTGAGAGACTTTTCCACTTGAATTATCAATAATAACACATGGTGATAATTTTGTGGGTTTAGAAGCTGGTATAGTATAATCCTCATCTTCATCATTATTATTAAGCACATCAATTTCCACCTCTTCATCACTCTCCCACTCATAATCACTTTCATCATCATTCCTTTCTTCTTGTAATTCTGAAAATCAAACACTAGTTCTTCATCGTCACTCTCATCATCACTCTCATCATCATCATCTTGCATATCTGGATCTAATTCCATTGATTCATTTTCTTCTTCAGCTAAACACAAGTTTTCTTGATTTGAACCCATTTAATGGTGAGTGAATTTACTTTTATATTTTGTAGAAGGAAAATGTAGATGATTAAAATGTTAGGTAAGATATACAATCACAGGAGATAAATTATTATGAAATTGGTTTTATCTTGTAAAAAGGTAAATAGTATAAATTTTATTTAATTATTTTGATAACTTGTAATTTATTCAATAGTTAAGAATAGATTTTTATTTTAATTCAAACTTGACTTTCTTCCTCCAAAACCTTTCTCTTTATATACTGTCCAACATTCTATTTATGCAGCAGATTAATTTGAAATTTTCTATTTTTAGAACCCATGACTAATATTTCGGCCTTACAGCCACTCAACAGTGGTGGTGGATGTAGTAATACAGATCAGGAATTTTCTATTTTTTAGAATCCTGTGACTAATATTTCGGCCATTCAGCCACTTGCAGCCACTTCAACCACTTGTTTATTACACAAGCAGCAGAACATGAATAAGAAAGTGCTTAATTCAAAAAGAAAGTGCAACACATCAGCATTACATAATAAATTATCCAAGAGGAGGGGATATGTAATATTGGAAAGTATATATCAAGCATATTAATTCAATAAAAGCTATTATCAATAAAATACATCAATTTAAACAAAAAGTGGTAAAAGTAGAAGAGGTGTTTATAAGCTTAATAGATATTAATTTAAAATTTTTTATTGAAGATATTTATTATTATATTAATTTTTTTTCAACAATCAATGACATCAACATATTCTGATATTATCAAAGTCAGACACAGATATTTTTGGAATTTAATATTGTTAAGCTTATGATTATTGGGTGAGCTAGGTGAAAATCTAAGAATGATTGTGGGATTATTTTTATTATCAGACTATTCTAAAGCTATTAACTTTTAATATTTAGTAATCTAAGTGGTGAAAAAACATTTATTAGAGATTGAGCAATTGATTAAAATGCAAGTTTAGTATTTACATTAAGTATATTATGCCAAAGCTTTGAAATAATTTATTTTAATATTTATTAAAAATTTTGCAAAAGTTAATGGACCTCCTTTCTAGGTAAATATTTAAATTTTTTTTTTATAATTATTAGAGGAAGATTTAATAAAAAAGATTAGTCATTAGAATATTGAAGAGCAAACTACATTCACATCCAATACAATTTTTTGTTAGATATAGAAACTCATTTATCTTGGGTTATTATAATATCATAATTTATTTTTGAATTAATTAATATTTTAAATGAAAATATTATTGATTATAAGATTACATTAAAGACAATGAATGAGTTTGTAGGCATATTCAAGATCTTAAAAAAAGAGATATATAATATTGTTTAATTCAATTTGTATTTATTAATTTGTATTTATTTACTTAAAAATAAAATATATACATTATTTGAAAATAAAATATATACATGATTTGATATTTATATATATCAAAATAAAAAAATTTTTTTATATATAATTTTTCTATTTAATTTTTAGCTTTTTTATTTTTCTTTCGTGTAGCTTATTAAAATAAATATAGGCTATTCCACAATCAATGTTCACAGTAATGTCATCATCAGCATTAATACTATTTGTTAAAAAAATAATTCATCAGTTTTTGAATCAATCAAATAATTATAAATTTAAAAAACTTACCAATGTGGTAAATCAATTTTTACTTCAAACTCTCCCACTGGTAAATTTTTTACAATATATTTTTTTGTTGGTGCAATACCAGTTATTGTAATAAATTTCCAGTTGGTTTCATCAATAAATATACTTATATCAGCATTATTTTTAATACCCGGGATACTGATCACAACGATAAATGTATCACTATGTAGAGTAAAAAAAAAGAGTTAGAAAAAACTACAATGACACATGCATGATACAACACAGTTACTATACCGATTTTCAATCAAATCAAACGGTAATGTTTGTTTTTGTGTTGGTAGCTCTACTACTTGTGGTTGTGATTTTGGTGTTGATGTTGGTTGAGTTTGTGTTGGTAGCTCCACCACTTGTGGTTGTGGTTTTGGTGTTGATGTTGGTTGAGTTTGTGTTGGTAGCTCCGCCACTTGTGGTTGTGGTTTTGGTGTTGGTGTTGATTGAGCTTGTGTTGGTGTTGGTTGCAAAGAAATCTTAAACGAATCTGTGATTTTTTTTTGATTGTGATTTTCCTTAATTAATCGTTGATGGTCGTCAATTTTTTCATGTCTTTTTAAATAGCTTATTTTATAAGTTTGTGTTCCGAGTGTGAAAATATTTTTTTTTTTTGCGTTACTACAAATTGTGCAGAACATTGTTGGTGTTTCGTTTATCATTTTAATCTCAAGCCAATTATATGTAATAATCCATTCGGGATCCGGCTCACTGCGCTCTTTCTTAAAATATTTTATATCATAGTTAAAATAATCATTGTTAACACTTCTACCGCCACCAACACCACCACCACCACCACCACTGCTACCACTGTTTACATTATTTGTTAAAAATTCATCCATTATTTATTGTTGAATAATAATTATTACTGCTTGTATTGTTGGTATTCTAATATAATTATTTAAATAAATTAATATAACGGAATAACAAAAGACAAGAATAATAATAATATTCAAAATATATTTCTGCGATAGAAATATTCTCTTGAAAAAAAAAGATTGAAATTTTGTAACACAAGATTTTGAATGAACCACAATGTTTGTGTACCGTACATTTTCCGCACACTCCGTACATTCTCCGTACACTCCGTACATTCTCCGCACACCCCCGTACATTCTCCGTACACTCCGTACATTCTCCGCACACTCTGCGTACATTGCGTACATTGTGTATACTCTTGCTAAAATTTTTCAAGGAGATAAAAATTCACTAGTGAAAAAGTTTCTTCAATTTTTATTAGGGGAAATTTGTTAATAA